TGTACATATTTAGGGAGTATAGTGTGATTTTTCAATACATGGACACAACTTGTAATGATCAAATCAGGTTATAAACACATGCATTATTTAAAATATTTATCATTACTTTGTGTTATGGGCACTCAAAAATCTTTTCTACCTATTTTGAAAAACACATTAAATTTTATTTATTGTTTTTTAATACATTAAATTGTTAACTACAATTACTCTACTGTACTTTCATACTCTAGAACTTATTTCTTTTATTTAATTTTTTTTAATTTTTTTTTTTTTTTGGTTAACCAGTTTCTCACTATTCCCTCCATCTTCTTCCCAGCTATTGGAATCTACCATTCCACCTTATACTTCTATGTGGTCAAATCTTTTAACTTCCATAAATATCTGAAAACATATGGTATTTGTCTTTTAGTGCCCGGTTTATATCATTTAGCATTACGTCTTCCAGGCTTATCCATATCTCCTCAAATGATAAGATTCCACCCTTTTTATGATTGTTTAATATCCACTGTGTGTGTGTGTATATGTATATGTGTGTATATATATATATATATATATATATATACACACACATATATACTACTTTTGTCTGTGTTTGCAGCTTCTCCCCATCTCCTGTTTTGTCACTTGGCTCCATCTCCTGTTGGATCAGTGGCTGTACTGGATTCTCATAAGAGCATGAATCCTATTGCTGTGTGATTATTTCATTGTATATTGCAATGTAATTATATATTGCTCTCTCTATATATCTATATCTATATCTATCTATCTATCTATCTATATATATATATATATATAGCTTTTTCTTTATTCATTCATCTGTTGATGGATCCTTAGGTTGATTCTATATTTTGGCTGTTGTGAATAGTGCTGCAATATAGGAGTGCAGAAATTACTTCAACATACTAATTACCTTTAGTTATAACCCAGTAGGGAGATTACTGAATCATATGAAACCCTAGCCCCACCCAACCATGGGTCAAGGGCATGTCTGCTAAACTCAAAGAGGTCTTCAAATATAAACCTGGAACCTTCTCATGTGCATCAACCTGGAAGAGAGTTGTATCTTACTGCTGTGCCACTGTCCAGCTCCAAAATCACAAGACAGTTCTATTTTTACTTTTTAAAAAACTGCCACACTGTCTTTCATAAGGGCTATGTTAATTTACAGCCCCAACACTACAAATTCCCTGACACTGCATCACCAGCACCTGGCATGAGTTGCCACTTTTTAATTTATAGTAGCCATTCTAACTGGGGTGAGATTATATCTCATTGTGGTTTTAATTTGCACTTTTGTGATGATTTCTTTTGGATTAGGGCTCCACTGTTATGATCTTGTTTAAATTAAATCATCTCCTTCTAAGCACTAGTTCTAGTATGTTCACAAAAGGGGTTAGGCTTCAACATATGAACTGGGGGGAGGTACAATTCAGTGCATAGCTCTATCTAACTACTAAAACTCATTTCTCTAAATCAGTGACCACAGCACATGGATAAGCGGTTTTTTGCACTCCTATCTTCTTGCAAAAGCTAGAGTAGTTAGTTACCTTTTCTCCGGAATGGACACTGACTGTTATAGTCACCAAAGACATTATGATAAAATAAAGGTCCTTGGAGTCCATAACCAGAGATTTGGATTTATAATCTAGAAGGAAGTTTGGCTGTAATACTATTAGATATTAAATATATTTATTTTATTAAATGCATCAGGGGCTTCTGATGGATCATATTTTGAGAAGGGCTTCTTTAGGTATTGTGTTGAGAGTCTGAAATATCTCCTCATCACAAACATCTTTGAAGAGACCTAGTTCTTCATAGTAGGCACAAGGAAGTGAGCATTCTCTACTAACTATTTAGGCTCAACCTTCCAGATGAACGGTAGTCTGAAACTTAGAGGATCTGATCGACTTACTAGATAAAATCATAAGCTGTCCAAATAAATTGTCATGAAATATGTATGGTGTGTTGGCCTCCAGCTCCAGTCTAGCCTCTGACTTCAGAGTGAATAGCAATTCTTGCTGACAAAGACTAAGGGATAATCTCACTGCATTTCCTAGAATTCCTTGTCAGCTACATTCTGGTTTGATTTCCAGTGGGAGGTACTGGCAGGACATTGGATGAAGGAAAAAGGGACAAAGATGGCTATTCTTGTAGGAGCTAAGCACAAGAGGGTGTATGAATTTTTGAGCTTCTGTTCAGCCACAGTGGTGCTATTTGCTGCTACTATTGTTGCTGCATTGACCCTAATGGGGTGTAGGCAAGAGAGTGATGGACAGATTGCAACCCAGATATGGTAACAACTCCTATGTCTTTCACTCCTCTGTGTTTCACTCACTCCTCAGAACTCCAATACTTGATAAGTAATTCCCTATATTACAATCATTCCTGTTTAAAAGACCTAGGACGGTTTCCTGTTTTCCTGGCTAGACTCTGTTACAGTTGGTAAATTATTGAACTATTCTAAAGAACTGCTTTCAGGATCTGGTTTATAACTTTAAGGAAAATTAGGAAAATTTAAAAGATATAAGAATAAATGTTATTTTAGGTCTTTTTAAAATAATAGTCATGATTTTGCAGCTTAAAATTATTTTTTATACATCATCTCATTCAATTCTAACATTAATAAGGTGGTTTAATTTTTAAGATAATAAAAAATTACAGAACTGTAACTTAAACTCAGATCATTAAACCAAAAAAAAAAAAATCCCTTGTCTTAAAATGTTAACAATTAATTTAAGGAACTTATATTTTAAAAATAAGTCCTTAGGGTAGGAGGGACAAAAGGGACGAAATATGTAACAAACAAAATATAAAGTTCTTTGCTGAAATGATGTGTACAGATGTATCAGGAGGTAGCATGATGGTTAAGTGCTGGATTCCCACATGACTGATGGCAGTTTGAGTCCCAGATCTGACAACTTGAAAATCATGCTGAGTGCATGTATATGAGTGCCCAAAATCCTAAGAGGAGAATCGAGAAGGGATTGTGGCATGGCCATTCCCTAGTGCTTGATTTCTCACTTTCCTTCTCTAATTCTGTCTCTCTCTAGTGAGTAGTAGATGCACTCTATGGCAAAAACCTTTAAAAAGTAAAAGAAAATGATGTAGCTGGAATATCCTTGACTTGATTTTCGTGCACTACCTGCATACTTTGTAAAACCGTAAGCTATAGAGACATATAATGATGAAATGTAAATTTAAAAAAAGAAAAGAAAAAAAACAGTCTTTAAGTTTTATGAATTTTGCTAACTCATAGAAGAAAATCTATATGTCGGTCCAAATGCACATGCTTTCTCTACACTGAGAGCTGTTGCACTGAATTGTTTGGGTATACCGAAAACAAAAACAAAAACAAAAACAAATTCTTTCTCTTGGTCTTAGCATAGATAAATATATGCAATGTTCCTTTTATCATCAAATTCTTGTTTTCTTGATTCCAGTCAGTGATTCTTAATTGTTAACTTCAATGATGTGTTACTAGGGAAAATACAAAATTTTAATTATTTAGGATAATAAGAGACAGCATGTGTTCTCCACAGACAGTGTCCCAACTCTCTGAATTTTTCACACACAATCACACATATACACTATGACAGGCTACATCATTTCTCAAGATGATGTGCCTTCTGGCCAAGGGAAGAAAGTAAGTGTGAGCTCTGTTGTTTAAACATGATGCTGTTTTCTAGCTGAAATTCAATAAATGTCCACAAGGCCATACAAAAAAACCTATAGGTGCTTATAAATCAGTCTTCATTTAGATTGGTCATAAGACCATGGAAGGAGGTAAAGATCAGTAATCACATTTTCTTAAAATTACTGAGCACTTTATTTTAAAGCCATATTAATGAAGGCATAGAAACTAAGAATATGATTACTTATAGAGAAATGTTCTTGGTACAACTTTAGGTCAATATGAATTTATGAGAACACTTATATAATATGAAAACCTATACAAAGATATGTAAATTTTCCCTTATGAATTGTTACTAAAGATAAAAATACCTTGTGAATACATAAACAAGGTAGCAATTCCATTTTACTGGCACCCTGACAGAATAGTTTTAGTATTATGCATACCTTATCAAAACAAAATATGATATACTTTAGGAAAGTTTCTATTCATAAAAACAATTAGATGAAAGAGCTAATGACATTCCAGTTCATGTTTTTGTTAAAGTGTTATATTTTTATTCCTTAATTGTTCATTCTCCAAAATTGAAATCACATGAAAATCAGGAAGCTCACTGAAGCAGGATAAACACAAAGGGACATGAAAAGACTAATAATTAGAAATATATTGTGAACTAGGTCTCCAATATTAGACATACTTTAAGTATAAAGACACACGGGAAAGAAAGAAAGGAGCATATTAGGTAAATAAATGAGCAGACTGAGATGCTTAGTTCATTTTTTTTTCTTTACTATTCCAAAAAGATCAAATACACTTCTTGAGGCTCTAAGCTATTGCCTATGGACTTTCAAGAGATCTCCAAAACCTTACCCTTGTGAATGTGTTTCTGGCTTTTGGGAGCTCAAGGAAGATGTTACAGCTGATGGTTCTGAAAATGATCTGAAATGTCAGATCTCCCAACTAACTATAACTGGCTCACGCTCTTGCTCATCCTTTGAGCTTATGAAAATTACTTAAGTACCCTATATTTGAGATTTCCTATTGATTATCTTGGTTGGGATTACTATTTCTGATGTTGCGAAGGTAAGGTTTTTAAGCACTTGAAGCAGGAGACTGACATGTTGCTAATAATCCCACTGATTTATAAACACCAACACACCAGGAGACTGAGCCAATAGTCTCTTGATTCCATTACCTACAAGATGGCAGTTTTGTATATTGAGACCACATGAACAATACAGAGACCTGAAGCACATAATATTGTTTTGTTCCCATTGACTTAACCAGTGGGAGATACAGTAGATCTACAACGCTCACAAACTTTAAGGTTGAGTTAGTTGTGTTGTTTATAAGTACTCTTTTTTTCAAGAATCCACAGGTTCATCTTTAGACCCTTCATCATGATGGACTAGATAAAACAGCTTTCTCTGCCTCTAGGAAGAGCTGGCTTTCTCTACGTATACATTTTAAGTTATGTTATTCACACAAGGTAAGGACTCAAGCAAAGGTGGTGTGCTCATTTATATTTAGGAAGAATTTTGTTCCACTTCTTTACACCCCAAATGAATCCTGGTGTAATTGCAAATATTACCAGTATTTAACTCAATTTCATTTGTGTAATTCATTCTTATGAATAATTTCTCTTTTTTTTTTTTTTTGAGAGATTTTCATTGTAGGGCGCATGCGCTCGCCAGACAGAGAGAGACAGAGACAGAAAGCGAGAAATCACCCCCCAGGGGGGATGGTCACGCCGCAATCCCTTCTCCTCCATTCTCCTCTCGGGATCTTGGGCACGCACGCACACGCGCCCGGCGTGAGTTTTAAGCCACTGGGTCCGGGACACGAACCGCGGTTGACTATGTGGGAGTCCAGCGACATAGCCATTATGCTAACTGCTGGTTCCCTAATTTCTCTTTTTTTGATAAATGAGAAAACATAAACACAACATTTATACTCCAAATAAGACTACATACTAACCACTCTCCTCTTCACAAAACATATTTAAAGAGTAAATGAATTGTAACTGACCATAGAATATAGCCATGCTGTTACATTATATTACATATTACTATTATTCTTATACACTTTTGTACCCCAGGATAATATCATTCTAGAGACAATACACAAACCTTTCTTCTTAAGCATATTCACAGGATAATTCAGAGAACACTTGTAGCAAACTGGCTACATGTAAGAAGAATTCCTTAAATTTAAACTAATGAATATGTAGTTAAAAGTGTTTGAAAGAACTATATAGTGGAAGAAATTTTTACGGTAGCTCTGTACATCTTAGCTTTCTCTTTCTTATTTGGCCAGCTCCTGATCTTAGTTAGGGAACAAGACCTCAACTCAAGAATGAGAAAATGAGACAAGTGCCTATTCAGGTCCTTCATCAAACTCATGCAGTGTTTTACAGAAGAGAATAATGAGAAATATGGAGAGATTAAACTTTAATTGAACTTCTCACTTAAAATTTTCAATATAGCAAAATTCAATTCAGGTCAACAAGTAATACTGAGCAATTAGTATATCTTTGCTCTTTGTAACAGCAAAGTAAGGTCATATTTTTTAAAATAGTGATGTATAATATGGTAATATGCTTGACTGGATTGTCATGTACTGCATGTATGCTTTGAAAAACCATATTCTGTGCTCTAGAGATGTAACACAATTCAATGTGAATAAGAAGTCATAAAATAAAATAAATTAGGTTTGCTTACTAAAGGCATTTGAGGGTGTTAAGGTTTATTCAAATTACACTGACAAATACTAATATAGAATAGCATACAGTTTATAGCTACTGAAATACTTTTTTCTTAATAGCTTCAGTAGTTACATGAATTAAAATGGAACAAAAATGGAAAATGGAAACAAGTCAATAAAGCTCAAAATTATTTTTTAAGGTTTTTGCTTTAGGTCATGTGTGCTCACTAGAGAGAGAAAGAGAGACAGTGAAAGGAAAAGTGAGAAATCTCCCCGGGGGGGGGGATTGTGGCTATGGTGCAATCCTCTCTACTCCATTCTCCTGGAATTCTGAGGGTACACACATGTACCTACCATGATTTTCAAGCTGCCAGGTTTGGTACTCAAATCATAATCAGCTGTGTGGCAGTTCAGTGCCTTAACCACCATGCCACCTGTTGGCCCCAAAATTAATTTTCATGGGGAAAACATACACGCAGTTAAAGACAGCAGAAAGAAAATCACTTATTTATTTACCTACCTATAATAAAATCTTAGGATTCCAAAGATGTAATGGTATAGCACAATATTGAAAACAGATCCGCCACTACTCTTAGAAATAGAAGGTTATTAATGAACCCAGCCAATTGGACAAACATTTAAACATCTTTATAAAGATGGGCAAACACAAATAGAAGATTTGCAATAAACCCTAAAACATACAACCAACTGATTCTTGACAAAAGGCATAATCCAATAGGAAAGCTGAAGTCTCTTCAGCAAATGGTGCTGGAAGAACTGAATAGTCACCTGCAAAAAATAATGAAACTGAACCCCTATCTCTCATCATTAACAAAAGTCAGCTCAAAATGGATCAAAATTCTCAATGTAAAAACTCAAGCTATACAATTACTGATGGAAAACACAGAGGAAATACTTGAAGACATTTGAGTAGGCAAATATTTCTTAAATAAGAGCTCTAAAGTGCAATATCAAACATTGACAAGTGGAACTGTAGGAACCTTAAAAGCACAGCTTCTACACAGCAAAGGAAGTAATAATTAGAGTTAAAAGACAATTCTCAGAATGGGAGAAAATATTTGCAAGCTATACTTCAGATAAAGGATTGGTATCCAGGATACACAGGGAACACAAACAACTCACCTGCAAAAATAAATAAACAAAAAGTCCTGAAAAGGGAACTCTCTTATACTGCTGGAAGGAATATAAATTGGTACAGCCACAATGGAAAACAATATAAAGGTTCCTTAAAAACCTCTAAGTAGAACTTCCATTTGACCCAATAATTCCACTCTTTGGTATTTACCTAAAGGACAGAAAAATACTCAGTCTGATAGACACCTGTACATCCATGTTTATTGCTAAGACATGGAATCAAACCAAGTGCCCAAAAGTGGATGACTGGATTGAAAAAAACTGTGACATGTTCACTATGTACTATTACTCAGTCATAAGAAACAATGAAACCCTGTTATTTGATACAAAGTGGATGTACATAGAAGATTTAATTCTAAACAAAGTGAACCAGACTATGAAAGACAAACACTGTATGTCTCCAGTCAATATATACTGAATGTCTACACTCTATGACAGAAATGGAAAGACCTAGAGATATAATGATAGGGAATATAAGTGTGGATATCAGATACTATAGGGAAGGGGAGTGGATATCAGGTTGGGTTGAAGAGACTGAAGAAGGAAGTGCTTGACAGACATAAGAATGTAAAGTTCTCCAAAGGAAAATATGCATGTGATAATATCCTTGATTTGATTACAAAAACTACACTGTGTGCTATGGAGATGTACAACAACTAAGAGTGAAAAGGAATTTTTTTTTTTAGAGTTTTTTTGTTATAGGGTGCGTGCACTCGCCAGACAGACAGAGAGAGACAGAGACAGAAAGCAAAAAATCACCCCTCTGGGGGGATGGTAACTCCGCAGTCCCTTCTCCTCCATTTTCCTCTTGGGATCTTGGGCACGCACACACACGTGCTTGGAGTGAGTTTAAGCCACCGGGTCCGGGATTCGAACCACGGTCAACTACATGGGAGTCCAGTGACACAGCCATTACGCTAACTGCTGGTCCCTAAAAGGAATTTTTTTTAAAGTTACATGAAGATAAAAAAAAGTAAGTGTGTTAAGAGGTATAGCACAAGTTAAGTGTGTTTATCACAATAAAACAAAATTAAATTTAAAAAAGGTTGCTTATGATGTAATCATGACTCTGCCATAGTAATTGGTGTCAGATCCTGACTGGCTCTATCAACCTACCAGGGCTACATTTTATTTATTTATTTATTTTTGTCATTTAAATTTTTTTTTGCCTTCCTTAAGCACTTAGAGCAATGCTTTTGACTTAGAAAGATTAGATAATCAACAAAACAAACATGTATTGAACTCCTAAAAATAAAATTATGAATAACTAAAGCAATACAGTTAAAACAATATAATATCATTTTCACTTTTGAATAAACAGACATTTGATAAAAGAACAGTTCCCAGTGGTAGAACTGTTAATAGACACAGTTATCCTCTGTTAGAGTATAAGTTACTGCTATTTCCAGTATCTATGAATAACATAAAAATTATCTATTTTTTTTATCAGAGCATAGAATATTTCTAGAGATAAAATAGATTGCTTTATAATGTTAAATGTTTCAGTTTATCAGAAAGACTTAACGACACTGTTTAAATAGATAATAGCAGAACTTGAAAATATTTTTATTGTTAGAATTTCAAGGAGAAACAAGCAAATTCACAATTATAATCAAGATTTCAATGTTCCCTCAATACTTGATAGACAAGGATAGAGAATATAAATAAAAACATAGCAGATTTGAATGCTATCAACCCACTTGAGCAAATTAACATTTATAGACTAACCAAGAACAGCAAAATATACATTCTTTCCAAAAGCATGTGAAATGGTCACCTAAATAGAGCATATTCTTCTTTTTTTAAAGAATTATCTTATTTAACTTTATTTATTTATTTTAATTTGACCAGAGAGGGACAGAGAGAGAGAGAGAGAGAGAGAGAGAGAGAGAGAGAGAGAGAGAGAGAGAGAGAGAGAGAGAGAGAGAGAGAGAGAGAGAGAGAGAGAGGGAAAGTGAGAAAGCAAGCTACCAGATCTGGGACTCAAACCGGGGTCCGCCATGTGGGAATCCAGGGCCCTTAACCACCACACCACCTGCTGCCCCCCTAAATAGAGCATATTCTGAGCCTTAGAACAAATCTTAATATATTTAACAGGATATAAGTGATATAAGCATGATTTCTGCCCATAAAATTAGAAAGCAATAGCAGAATGATCTCCGAATATACCCTAAAACTTAGCTAAACAAATGTAATTTTTTTTTCTTAAAATTTATTTATTTTTTTGAGAAAGAGTAAGTGAAAGGCACCCTTGACAGGGTCTTCATGCTGTAATTCTCCCCAGTCCTGCAACCAGCCAGAATCACAGGTGCACAAGGTAGACCCAGACAAAAGCCCAGACCTTTCTCCTGTGGCTTCCAGCATTACATAGAAACACCCCTACTGCCTACAACATCATGGCTAGGACAACAGATACTATATATCTAAATAAGACATGAGCTAAGAAAAAAGCCAAAAGTGTCATTAGAAAGCATTTTGAATTGAATACAAATAAAAACACAGCATCAAGGGACCGGCAGATGGCAGAATGGTTATGTTGTTGGACTCCCACATAGTCAACTCTGGTTCAAGTCTGGACCTGGAGGCTTAAAACTCATGCTGGGCACATGTATGTGCATGCCCAAAATCCTG